CCAGGAAGTCAGGGCAGTGCTTCATTTCACCCACATCACCCAGTTTGATGCCATGATCATTCTCTCCTACGAATTTTGGATTCTGCCTTTACTTAATTGACTTGGGCAGTTGGCATGCAACCTTTAAAACAGTTACTGAAATGTCAGCTTTGAAAGAGAAAAGACATTATTTGATGATGGCCATCTAAGTGCCAAGCAAAGCACACATGTCCCCAAGGACCTGTACAAAGTTGGGGGTACACAGGCGACTGCTCAAGAAAGAGCAAACTAATGCAGCAAAATGTCTACCAGCTAAGAGAGTGCAGTCTAGGGTACACAGCTTGTCCACAGTCACACCTGGGTCCTGTGAAGGACACAGTCACACCTGTGTGTGAGCCACTGAAGCATGGAACTGGCTAAAATTAATGAAAAATAAAAGCAAAAAACCACTGGATTTGTAAGATAAGAACAGTGATAAGCCACGAACAGGGATTTCATCCTTCAGAAATGCAGAACTAAACAAGAATCTAAGACCACTCTCTGCCTTTGCTTTGGGCTCACTTGTGCTGCAGGAAAGAAAAATATAACCAGAAAATAATGCTGTCAGCAATTGACTTCAGGTGCCATCTGCATATATTCCTGGCACTATTAGCTTGCAATTAACAAAGGCCTTATGTTTTATCCCCTGCAACTCACTGCCTTGAAGTCTGAGGGAGGGGATTTAGCGGAAGGGAACATGCAGGTGGGTGGCGAGCTTTCTCAAAAATAAATAATTCTGCTTTTTGATACTGATTCACTGGTATGTAAGCTGCTCTCTCAAACTAATAAAAGGTCATTTGTTGGAGGGAAGTGGAATATTTCCATTATGTCATCGTGTGAAACAACTCTTCCAACATGTGAGAGTACATTACAGAGATGAGCATTGTGCCATGAGGCAGGCTGACAGTCTTCATTTACATGAGACGCAGTCCATTTTGAAAGTCCAATGTGGTGGATAAACTCCTAATCTCTTGAAATGGGCAGAGCAGAGCAAGCTATGCTGAAAGCCCATGGGCACTAGAACAGAGCCAAGAGCCAGAGTTTTTAGATGTGGTCATCCCTGGCTTCTGATCCTGGCTCTGCCACTCACAGCTGTGTGACTTTGGGAAAGCCACTTAACCTCTCTGTGCCTCAATTTCCTTATTTATGAATCCTTTTTAGAAAAAGCTCATTGTGAGAATTAAGTGAGATAATTGTGAAATGTATGACACAAAAGAGCATCATAATAAATGTGCGTTACTGTATGTCAGGAACTTTGCTAGATCCTTATTTGGTTGTCTCAAAGTTTATTTGTAGGTAAAAAAAAATATTTCAGCCAGTTACCAATGAGCCATTTTTGGTAAGGAGAACAATGCCAATCATGCCCACTTTGCTGAAAAAGAAGTGGCTTTTTCACACTGCTGTCCACTGCCCACAGAAGAGCTTGGTTGGCCAACATGGGAAGCGACTTCCCTTAGCCAACTCTCTAGGACAAATTATTTCAGAGTCAAAAAGATGGAGGTGATTACTATGCCCCATTATTTTTCTGAGAAGGGCTCACTGTCTGACAAGTTCTTGTTCTCATAGGGAACAATAAAACTTTGGGATGATAAAATTATGCCATGAACCCAGCTGATGGGTAACATAAAAGTGGAAAATAGATTTAAAGAAACCAATCTTTTCTCATTTAACAGTTGATAATATACACAGCAACAGATACCTGCTCGAGCTGATTGAATGCTGATATAAAGCAAAATAGTTAATCAATACTAAGCTGAAAATCGTAGCCTCTTCTAAAGCAGCATAGTTATTTAATAAAGCCAAAATAAGCAATATATATATAATACCAACAGTAGGCCTAGGTATTAATGATATATTCCCTCACCGTCTTGCAGCTCAGGGAGCCGATAAGCAGGAACTTGGAAGGTTTAAATTAAAAGTCTCTGTGACACCAGGAAAATAAAACTTCCTCCAAAGCTGGTAGAGAAGTGCAGGTGCGTCTGCCATCACCCAAAATATCCTGCCACTTACAGAAGGAGCATTTCATGGTCGTTGGAGGCCAGGACACAATTCCCTTGAACACCCACTCCCGGGCCAAGACTTAGGGACATGACTCATCCGGAGCGAACAAGGCAATTTTCTGTGGGGAAAACGTGTCTCCACCCCAGATGTTAGCCAAGTTCTGCTTAATTAAGTAAAGTTCTGTGAGCCTGAACACGTACTAGCAAGTGCTTTCAGTTTGCCTTTAAAAACTGTGGGGAAAATGATGACGGGTGAGGGAGAGACGTCCTGTACTTGAAAACTTGCTTGACCCAAAGGAGGCTCGTGAATTTCAATGATTTGCACAAAGATAATTGATCAGGAAGTTACCAGAAATTGCATGCAAGGATCTGACACTGTACAAAAAGCTCAATTTAATTCAAGATGAATTTATTGATCATCTACCATTTATAAGAAAACTGTAGAAACTGACATTTGGGACTGGCAGGTGGAAAGGTAGGAAGCTGTTATAAAAGCAAATGGACAAAGATGTTAATGAAAATATTTCCTCCCTGAAAGCTTTCAATCATGTGTGAGAATCTGCCATGGCAACCGTCATACATGATGAAACAAATATGAGCTCAAGAAAGGTTAAAGAAGCTTTCTATAGATGAAGAGAGGAAGAACTGATTGCTTCTCACTGGGAGAAATTGGAGGGGCTCCATAAAGACCAGTGTATAAATAATGCCCCTACTAATACCTTTATGAATACTACTTTTTCAGGCACATTTTAACTGCTTAAAACAAAGTATAGGTTTACCAGATGTTATACTGACTTATGTTTCCCCCCACACCCCAAAAAATATATATTTGGGAATTCTAGTTCCCAGAATTTCAGAATGTGGCCTTACTTGGAAATAGGGTCTCTACAGAAGTCATCAAGTGAAAGTGAGATTATAGGGTGGGCCCCAATCCAGTATGACAGTGTCCTCATAAAAAGGAGCAATCCAGACAAGGACACAAGGGAGGATCAGGTGAAAGACACAGGGAGACACCCTGTGCAAAAGGGGTTCAGGGTGATGTGGCTACAAAACCAAGCACCACCAGAGACAGTCCCCAAGCCCCAGCAGCCAGGGGACAGGCCTGGAGCAGACCCTCCCTCACGGGCTCAGGAGGAACCAGCCCTGCCAACACCTTGATCTCGGGCTTCCAGCCTCCAGACTGTGAGACAATATAGTTCTGCTGCTTAAGTCTATGATATTTCTTATGGAAGCCCTTGAACATCACAGTTTGCCATTTTGGAAGACATTGTCCTAAGGTCTGTGGCCTAAACCAGTGTTCTCCGAAGATACACATGAAGAGTCACTGAGGTTCAGGGAGAAATTTCTAGAACTTCTGTGTATCTCATAAGCATAAGACTTCTATTCTGATATCTATGTTAAAAGTGCTGTGTCTTAACACAATTATATAGCATACGGTTCATAAATAGTCATATATATATAGGATCCTTTGTTTAAAAATAATTTTCTAATAGTGATACATAATCAAAAGACTGTACTACTGTTAAAAGTGACAAAAATCTAGGTAATCATAGGAAGAAAATGAGGTAGCTGATTCCCCTAAATTTCTCATGGGTGAAATACAATCCCAGATGACATGGTAATGCGGCTTTATCTACTATTAAAGGATACTAGTAATGGCAGTCATCATGCAATGGCAGTCATCCTTGGAAACTAACCTTCAGGTGATTGACAGTTATAAGTTACAAGTTACAGTTACAAGTTTCCCTCTTGGTGTTGGGTGAGCTAAAGGAGGGTGCAGAATATGTCTGGCCTGAGGACCTTCGCTTCTCATCCACAGGTTAGGGGCCCAGGGCTCTGTTTCGGAACCACATTTTGTCACTGCCCCCGTCTGCCTCCCGAGCAGCCAGCACGCAGCAGACACTGAACCAAGCTGGCACATCTTTTTTGCACATCTAGTTTTGTTGAATAAAAGCCCTATTTTTACCCACCATTCCCCTTCTTTGGGCTGGTCTCACTGCACATTCAGGAAGATCACTTTCCTCCATCCACCTGTCCAGATCCAGACCCTAATTATATCAAGAAGCAGGTATCAAATCCCGACCCAGCTTGCCCTCAAAATTTGAAGCCACCATGAAGCTCTCTGAACCTATAATTTAGCATTTAATGATGACCTGGCTGAACTATTACTGAATGTGTTGTGGGTCAAGTAGGTCACAATTGTGTCCCTTGAGGACATGGACAGTGTCTTACACTTCCTGGAACCCCAAAGTGCTCGGCCCTGTGCTGAGGCTGCAGTAACTGATCAGAGTGGGGACCAGGGAAATACTAGAGCATTTCCTGTTAGGAGCGGAACAAGGTCGGACTTCAGTATCAGATTAAACTCGACTCCAGTTCTGAGCTTAATACTAATTTCATGATCTTGAGCAAGTTGCCCAACCTTTCTGAGCCTCAGTTTCTTTACCGATAAGATGGGCATAATAGCATCTCACCCTTCAGGTCATGAGCAGATTAAATGAGCTAATGCATGGACAGTAAGACTGTCCTTGGAAAACTAACCTTCAAGTAACCTTCAGTAAGACTGTCTGGTCCACAGTAACTGCTCAACAATGTGTACTTTCCAATCTATCTCTAATTCTGTTCATTATTCTCATTCAAATTCTCTTTGCTGCTAGCCAATGCTTCTGAACACAGCAATATTTAGAACTCTACTGGGTGGTATTATGGAAGAATACTTACAAAAAGGAACCACAGTTTGAATGTGAATGTCCCTTCCCAGGGCTCCTTCCCCTCAGAGTCACTCAATTCAATGATGACACCACTGGCTGAGACAAAAGATGTATGTGTCACCCAGCATGATTCCAGCATCTTCCCCCACTATGCCTCAGAATTAACCAGTGAGACTTGGCTCAACTCAAAATTGATATTCAGAGATGACTGGATTCATTTCTATCTTCTGAGGGCCTTTCAATGCAGTGGAGTAAATAATAAGTCAGTAATGCCCAGAGGACCAATTAAACACTGTTTATCCAAGTCAGCGGCAGGATGGGGGATAACGATGGGTGGAGCAGAAGGCAGAGTGAGGGAAGAGGAGCTCTGGCCCCAGTCACCAAGATGCCAGGACAAACCAGGACAAACTTAATATCTGAGACATCACTTCCCTTCTGGAGCCACACGTTTCCTCCATTGTAAAGAGTGGGGCTCAGGTCTCCGTGAGAAAACTAGTGGGAGGTCTGCGTTCTGGTTCTCGTCCTGACAGAGCCATGATTCTCTGAACGGGGAGCTTCCACAGCCCTGTCGTCCAGCCACAGGCAAGCTGAGCTGTGCATCCAGAGGCTGGGGTGTGTGGCCGTGGTCGCATTGCCTCTTTCTCCTCTATGACCAACATCCTAGGACGTGTGGCTGAGTGTGCAAGGGCCGGAGGGCTGTCCTTCATATGCAGATCATTATATAAGTACCACCACTTTCTGCAAAATAATTGCAAGCTGGAGTCTATTAAATGTCCCCTTAAAGAGGCTGCATTCACTAATGTTCCATGAGTTTGACATAGACAAAACCAAAATGTGTTGTTTTCAACAAGATTTTGGGCCAATTCATTATTTGGAACATAGGCGAATTTTGAGCTCAGGAAAACGTAAATGAAAAATCTTAGATCAGACAACTGAACAAATAGGGAACAGCTACTGTAAGCAAGATACTAGGGGATCAAAAATATGCGTTAGACATAACCGCAAGATTGTTGCAAAGAGTAAGTGAAATAATCGACTCACAAGATGCCTGGTGCAATGACCGCTACGTTAGGCAGTCCCCTTCCGCTTCTGCCATCCTCCTCCTGGTGGGGAGACGTTCCTTCCTCAATGGATGTTCTTTCATGGTAGGAACCTAGTGCTGTGGAGACACAGAAGAAGCAGTGACACCACTGGGGACAAGACCTCAAATAGCTGCTGGAATATCACGGACTTCAAGTGAGGAAAATTTAAAGCTGGGGACAAGTGAAGCCAAGCAGAACTCCACTTCCCTCTCGCTCCTGTTTCTCCCTTGTGGCAGGGCCACCCCCGCCCATCTCTGAGCGCCACCAGCAGCTCTTATGGACTCCCCGAGCCTGCCTAAGAATGGGGAGGAAGACCCGTGCAGCTTATCTCTGAGCTCAGAGATGCACAGCCTTCTGAACCTACAGGGCAACCCCTCCCCACCCAGGGGTGATAAGGAACACACCGGACAAACGCCCGGCGGAGGAAAGCCGGCCCATGGCACACACACTCTGGGGCAGCTCCTAGGAAAGTGCTCCCGCCAGCCACAGAGCCACTCTGGCCATCAGACACCACCCCATCTCTGCGCCCTCTGTGCCTCCAACCTTCACCCCTTTACCCTGGGAACAAATGTTGATGGAAGGGAAAACAATGGTTCAGGGAAGATTGAAAACACCCCTCTTGCTTCTTGCCAGAGCATTTGCATTTTTGGAAGAAGTTCTTATTTCTTTTTAAGGCTCACAGTGAGAAGCTTTTAGAAAAGCTAAAAATATCTGTTAAAGAAGAAGAAAAAAGATCAGCTTTTCTGTGCAAAAGGCTCAGAGGCACACGGAGGTGCAGAGTCAGCTTTTAGCCTCTCGTTCCTGAAGGCACAGGGAAGGAAAGGTGTCGTGGGGCCTGGATCTTCTAGAAACAAAGGGACATGCAGATAAAGATAAAAGAACCTCAGACCACATTACGGAATCATAGCTACTGAAAGCCAAAAACGGCCTATAGAGTTCACTTAATATAAACTCCTCCTTTTACAACAAAGAAACTGAAAAGCAAACAGATGAAGTGGCTTGCCTGGAGCCACAGCACCAAGCTGAAGCAGCCGGGATGGGAACCAGCCGCTGGGGCTCCCTGCCCGGGAGCTCCTTGTCTGTCCACGGTGGGCCGTGGACCTCTCTCCACCAGCACACCACTTGCACCTACAACCCCGAAAACAACTTTTGTGGATCTGGTCCAACCGCTGCCCCCATGCAGGCCACCAACTCATGGTTGGGCTGAGCTTCCTCCAGCAGCCCCAGATGGTGAGCTGCCCATTTCTACAGTCTGGGGCCTGGCCCCCAGAACTCACTGAAACACTACCAAAACTCTCAAAGGGAGTTTTCACCAAGGACCCCAATATCAGTAAGGACATCACTAACTCGCTCAGAACCAGAATTTAATTCTCACTGGACTTGAGAGCTAGAAGTGCACACCCTCCATTCAAGAGCCAAGGAACAGGCCTGGAAGGAGCTGTTACTTGTCCGGCACCACCTGAGGTCAGCGCAGGCTGGAGAGCTCTGCCTGCACCTGCCTGCCTGTCCTGTCACACCACGCTGCCTCTGCTGAGCTTTTCCTTCATTTTTGCACTTCCTCTTTCAGTCAGTGCCATTGATTGGGTCCCTCCTATGTGCCAGGCACAATTCCTGGCACTGAGGACATGCCATTGAGCAAGAGGGATAAGAGTCCTACTCTGGGGACATTACATCTGTTGATCCCACATGGCCCACATCTTCCCATGAGATGATGGCCACAACTGGGCTGCCAAGAAAACGTCCCTCAGGAGTGAGAGCATTGTCAGTGGCCCCCATGGCCCCCAATGGCCCAGGATATGAAGCACAAACTCCTCGCTGTGGCCCACAGCCCCCATAACCTGGCCTCACCCACTGTCCCCCGGTGCTCCAGCCGCCCAAAGGACTGTGAGTCCCACAGGGGCCCATGCTCACAGGACCCCTCCACTGACAGCCACACACACACCCCCAGCGCCCTGTCTCCTCCCCCTCCCCCTCCTTGCTAGCCTTCTTCTCAGCACAGCGTGGGACTGCTTGGCATTCTTGCCCAGGCCAGACACTCTGCGAGGTGCCCTGTCACCCACAGCCATCCTGGGAGCACTTCTAGCGGTTCCCAGCCTGCTGCCCCATTGGAATCACCTGGAGGGACATTAAACCATCACACCCCTTGGGTTCCTCCCCACCCGAGATCTGATGTAAGTGGTCTCAGGTGCCGAGGCATTGGGCGCTGTAAATGGCGCACAAGGATTCTAGTCAGCAGCTCAAACTGAGAACCACCAAGTAAAATAATATTCTCTCCATTTCACAGATGAAGATCTAGAGGCTCAAATAATAACCTAACATGCCTTGTCAGGACACCGCAAGAAGGCTGCCATCTGTGAACCATGAAGTGAGCTCTACCAGACACCAAATCGCCGATGTCTGGGTCTGGCAACTCTGGGAAATCAATGTTGCATAAGCCACATGGTCTCCGGTACTTCGCTATAGCGGCCGCGAGCTGGCTGAAGCAGACACCCTCTGTCCACCTTCTGCCGGCAGCCTTGGCCTCTGGGCTGCTGTCCTTCACCCATTTCTTCTCGCCCTGCCGTCAGGAACAGGACCAACTGCCCACCTTCCTCTGTGCACAATATCTCTGTACATTTGCACCAAATGATTATTTAAGTCCCATAACCTCATGATCTTCAAAGCATCCATATGGAGTATATGCAAACTGTCACACCACCAACACCAAGACGAAGAAACAAGAGCAGCAGAGATGTAAGCAAACCCCTTCCCACTCTCTCACCTCCATGATCACTAGTGACCTTCAATGTTAGAAGGAAATCGCTTTCATTTTGTTCAAAGGATCTTCCCAAGACTTAACAGTGCCCATCCCTCCCACGCGCATGAGCCAGCCCCGTCTCTTCTTGTCCTCTGAGGAAAGGTCAGCAGGGACTGAGCCTGCAGTGGCCGCCCTGCCTTGAGGGGACAGCATCAGAGGCAGCCTCTCGGAGGCGGGTCATAGTGCACTGTGGCATAGCTGGCCACCGGGCAGCCACCCAGGAGCGCCTGTTGGTCACTCCCAATAGCAGATGCCATGGCCAGAGAGCCTTCGCCCCTCCCTGAAAACGCAGTCCTCAGGTCAAATAGATGTATTTTGAGCCGGCAACTCAAACTTAGGGAGACAGAAAGGCAGGGGAAAAGCAATTGTGTCAATAACCAATGCATCCATCATGTCAGTGTCAGAGCTTATCATCTACAACTTCCTCATGGCAGCCCTAGTGCCTGGCCTGTGCACACACACGCATGCACACACGCCCATGGCCTGTGCACATGCGCACACGCACGCTCCCCCCACCCCTCCGCAAACAGGTTAATCCCCATGTCATTGGCTGCCACTGGCCTCCTAAGCAGCTTACCAGGCCATGTTCTGACTTCCACAACGACCTGCTAATAGTTTTACATTTCTCTCAAGTACTATAAGCCATCATTGTCACTCTTATCTTCTAATGAAATCGATAGATTCAGGAGACAGGAAGGGAGAGGGCAAGGCCAGTGCTAGGGCCAGAGGCACAGAGGGACTGCCTGCTCAGCCATAAACAGTAGTCTTGAAACCATTACCAAGCCTTGACTTTTACTTAGAGAAATTAAATTGCAGATCTCCTGGCAAAAGAAAATTTTTTTCCCATTTTACTTAAAAACAAGAACAGAGCTTTCCATATAGCTGTGCTTTGCTAACAGTAAAACTCTCTCACTGAAAACTGGTCCTGTGCCTCCAGGAGCCCTTAGGAGCAGCCTGAAGCATGCGATCTTTCTGCCCCTTTCTAAGGAGTGTTTGCAGCTATAAACACCCCAGGTGGGCAGTTGTTTAGTTACCACACAGTTTTGCCTTGATTTTTATAAGGTTTGTTATTTGGCTTCTACATTAATCTTTTCCTCCAAGTTTCAAAAGCCCCCTATATATTTAGATACTGATTACTTCCAATTTCTCCCTAGCTCCAGGACAAATCTGACCAGTCACCACCAGCCTCCATCCTCTGCTTAAAAATAGTCTTTACTATGGCCCCTCCCTGCTTCTCCTAGTTCATGGCCTCCCCCCGCCCCCCACCGCTCCCCTTCCCTGGCTGGGTTGCAGCCAAGCTGGTCGCTCTCAGCTTCTGCAACGGGTGTATTGCTTTGGATGCAGATCCAGCACGCCCACTCCCCTGCCCACATGCACAGCGCACCTCCCAGTGGCCCTTAGACGCAGCTCAGCTGCCACTGCCCCACGGGTCCTCCCTTGGTCTCCCTCCCCAGGTCCCCCCACTGCAACACGTTCCCCAGCACTGACCACCCTTTCTTCCACATCACTCACTGCAGCTCTTGCTGTACACTCACTTCAGTGTGATTTCCTTACTTCCATTGTCCTCCCTAGAGAGTAAATTCCCTAAAAGCAAAGGCCACATACGCCTAGGGTCCAGCACAGGGACCAGCATGCGATAAACACTCCATAATTAAGTCATGAATGAAAAGCTCAGGGCTCAGGCTAACTGAAGGAAAGGAAGAGTCTGACGTTATTCTGTCCGCTATAGGCCTGTGCCGTTGGTGCTCAGACAGAAGTCGTCTTGTGTGATTTTGCTCTTCCTCGGCAATCATCCCAAAGTGCCCCTTTGTTCCAAGGCTCACTGCCACCAGAGAGATGTCTGACTGCCCCAGATCAGGGCAGGTGGAATCAGCCTTGGTTAGAGGAAGTGGGTCAGGTCAAGGTCAGCCCTCTGTTCCAATATCAGAAGAGTCCACTATTCCCAGGGAAGGCTCGTTCTCCCGATTCCCTCAGGATGGTGACCTGTGAGCTAGATAATAAATGTGACCACACAAACATACTTTGGATGCAAGGCTGTGGAAAAGAAAGAAAAAGGCGAACAGGTATTTCCCCCTGCAGGCTGAGCTTCTAGAGAGCAGTGGGGTGAGAGAGGGAGTCCAGAAAGGACTGGACCAGAGTGGGGGCATCGTCTGGAGGCAAGAGCTCAGACCTGGGAAGGGTGAGCACTCTGCCTACCTCTAACCTGCGAGTCTGGGCGTGGCTGGACTTCAGGACTGCACATTCCGCCTCAGCTCTGAGTGGCGACCAGTCGCCATAGGT